GTGACCACTCTTCTGGATGTGTCTAAACTAGTTATCAAGCACCCAGCCCCTTTCTTTTACTTACCATCTACATAGAAATTAAACTATATGTTTAATCTGTGCATATTTATGAGGTATGTAGTATATGGGGGGAGCTAGGTTGCCCTGGAGCCAAATGTAACTATGAGCTTCCCCATTTCCCTACTTGATGTTATTAATAACCAATCTGCCAAACACACAGGAATCCAGAGACAAGATACCAATGGGGTTTCAGATCTAGCTTCCAGTCATGCTCCTCCATGTCAAACTATCATTGCCCACTTGAGCACTGAAGTCCTACAGCTGGACAATGGAGTACCCAGATGGAACACCATCTAGAAAAGGGACTTTTGGAATCTCTTAGGACTTTCATTAATGGTTTCCTGAACTGTTCTTTGTTCTTCAATTCATGGATCACTCTTCAATCTCTACATGCAATTAACAATTGACTGCAGCTGTGAGCGCCGTACCCCCCCCCCCCCCCCCCCCCCCATTGGAGTCTGATGTTTTGCAACTGTGATGTTCGTGCTTCTATGTTGAGGAGTTTTTTGGATTGTAGAGCTACTCCCTGCTGGGATTAACTCTGCTATGCCTTTTTTACCTTACCCCAATTATCCTCATGTAACACCCTTTTCATCTAATGAAATGAGCGCCGTTCTGGCTGCTCTCGTGGACTGCCTGGCCTGTTTTGTCTACATGTGTGTGTGTTTAGCCTTGGTCAGGTTGTGTTAGTAGAGTCAAGTTCCTATGCTCTGGGTCGCTGGAGCACTGGCAATAAAGCTTATTCTGATTCTGATTCTGATGCACCTGGGTCAGGTCACACACACAATGACAACATTGCCCATCACAGTTATGCAGATGACACCCAGATCTTCTTAGCTCCGTCACCCAGTGGCTGTTGTCCTCCAGACTCTCTGTCAGTGTTTGGAGCAAGTCAATGATTGGATGTAGTCAAACTTCAGGGCAGCAGTAGCTCAGGAGGTAGAGCAGGTTGTCCAGTAATTGGAAGGTTGTAGGATGTATCCCAGCTCCCACCAGAGAATGCTGCTAGTGTGTCAACACACTTAGCCCACCTTGCCTGCTGGAGGTGGTCGGAGAAACTTGTGACACAAGTGCTTGACAGTCTTGCAGCCTTCAGTGCGCCCCAGGGCAGCTGTGGCTACAGTGCAGTTTATCACCACCAGTGTGTGAATTTGTGTGTGAATGGGTATTCTATTCTGATTGTGTTGTGAAGCACCTTGGGGGGTTGTAGAACACTAAGAAGGTGCTATAAAAAATAGATGCCATTTACCAAACTTCTTCCAGTTAAACAAAGACAAGACTGAAGTTATTGTCATTGGAAATAAGGATAGGATGGAGGTTATTGCTCATCTTGGCTTCAGAAGAATAATTTTAAAAACTCAGGTTAGAAATCATGGTGTCATACTTTATTCGAACCTGAGTTTCACTGGTCACATTAAAGCTATATCTAGATCAACAGTTTATCATCTTCATCAAATAGCACGACTCAGAGGTCTCAGAGAAGTTCATTCATGCGTTCATCTCCAACAAGCTGGACTATTGTAAAGGTCTTTTAACTGGTTTTCCCCAAAAATAAAAAAAAACTGTGAGGCAACTGCAGCTTATTCAGAATGCTGCTGTTAAAGTCTCAACAAGAACCAAGAGAACCTAGCACATAACTCCTGTTCTTAAATCTTTGGTTACCAGTAAACTACAGAATCCATTTCAAAGTGCTTCTGCTAGTTTATAAATCACTCAGTGGCATGAGGCCAAAATGCATGTTGGATCTCCTTCCTGTATATACACCTGGGAGGGCTCTGAGATCCTTAGGAAGTAGTCAGCTAGTAGAAATTAGCTTCCTTGTGACCTCAAATCTGCCCCAATTCTGGTAACCTTTAAATCAAAATTGAAAACCTTTGTGTATTCATCTGCCTTTGACTTAATGTTTATTATGCTGCACCTTCTGCTCTGTAACTGCTCAGTGTCCAACTTTGCCTTTTAATTTTATTGCTTACATCTACATTTACAGTATTTGTGTATTTTAAGGAACAATGTGCCATGGGTTACGCAATCAGAGGCAAAAAGCTAACATCGCTCTGCTGCTGACGAGCTAAAAATAACTCTTCGGTGACCAAAATATGATGAGATGTGCGGGAGATATCGTTGATGAGCTGAGACTGTTAAACGCAAACAAAAGGATTCTACTAGTAGCACTCAAAACCACTCAGGTTATCAGAAGATGGGACTATAAAGTCAACACACAAAAGGGAGAGAGGAGTGAGAACACTTCCGTGCCCATACTCTTCTGGTTTCACCCCCCGAAGCATCTCCAGGTGTTCCCTTAGTTTTAACAGGGAGATCAGCTGCAGCTGGGACTTAGGTGGAGAGGTAGCAGGCAGGGCTGCTGCTGAGGCCATCTAGTGGCCTGAATGGACGGCTATATCAAACACAGGCCATTTACCATACAGGCCATTCATTTACC